TTTAAAAGGTCATGGTGCCATTTTTGACGATATCAGTATTCTCACATCTTTTAAAGACGAAAATTGAGCCAATCTTGAAAATTAGTCACGTAACAGAGTTTGTTGTCGCAGTGAGCTTATTACTTCAAAACTTTATTGTTTCCTTCCTTGTTAGGTGAAGGTTATTTTAAAATAATAATAATAATATGACTCCATTTCTGATTTAACAGCTTAACCAGGACTGGATTTCCCATCCCGTAAGTACCTCAACACAGGAACTTAAACAGTTAATTTGACATAATAGATAGACCTCATCTCTGGCCAAAAGTAATTAACACACAGGACATCCCAGTTTTTATTTGTTCCCAGTTTACTCCCATAAATTATCAACTGATAACTTTTGTTCCTCTTATTTCCAGGTTGCCTGATTTCTTTTCCCAGGTTTGATAACCTGACAATTTGCAGGAGATAACTTCAATCCTACTCCAGTTAACATTCCATACATGTATCTCTCACTGGCACGATTAAAGATTCTGGAGTTACCACAAGGTGAAATAGAAGTTGGGAAATATGGGCTAAAACGTCGTAGAAATTAATCTATAATCAGCCAGGCAGAAGGTATTAACAGCATATTAGGCGATATGTCTTTTATCTTCCATTAGACCACTGGCTACACCTACACACGCCGCTATCCGTAATCTAAAATTTACTATTTAATGCATTTCTGTCAAGACGCGGGCTTTCGTTCTGCCAAATATAGAAAGAAAAAGGATAATGGTGTAGTGAATTAACAATTCAGCTTCCTTACTCACCAAAATGAACGAATGCAATGTTCCGCCTTTGAATTAGCCGCACATATTAGACACTAAATTAAAGGGTTGAGCAGAATTGCCTTTCATTGGTTAAAACANCGAGTATTTGATATATCTTCTCAATCGAAACAAAAACTAAGGAGCAAACGGAGAAGTAAAATCGTCAAAATCTATGCTAATTAAGACCAGGTATCCAAAAAACCTCCTTCACTGTTGCGATTTTCTTTGTTTTAACTTGATGATTTGTTACTGAGTTTGAGAAAATTCACCTTTATCTGCAATCTGCAATCCACAATTTCATTTACTCCTGTAAGCGTCCTGGTTATACACCCCCTCCCCCCTTCCTCCAACCCATACGTCCCGTTTATAAGCCCGCGTGAAACCCTTATGAACTTGTATATGCCCGGGGGTAACAACCGCGATTTTACGGTATGCACAACAGCGCTTTTCAAATATGATGCAACATTGTTGAGCGGCAAATTGCATGAGAAATTTCCTCGTATTATAGGTAAAAGGAAATCTAGTTTTGCAAAAATATATTCGTCTTGTTCAATCGCTATTAAAAAAAATCCTGAACTGACTGAGAAACACTTACACTTAGGACAGTCAGAGATGAATAGCAAAAAGTTTCACAGGTAAACCACGTCACTTAATTTGTTATCAACAAATTATGGTCGCGTTTGTTGAACATGTGACGGAAAGCTCATTCACAAAGGAATGTGTCCCTAAAACTGCCGACTACCATCATAGTACCTTTATTGTTAGGTGAAGCTTATTTTAAAATAATAATAATTACCACAAGGTGAAACATAAGTAGGGAAATATGGACTAAAACGTCGTAGAAATTAATCTATAATCAGCCAAGCAGAAGGTATTAACAGCATTTTAGGCGATATGTCTTTAATCTTCCATTAGACCACTGGCTGCACCTACACACGCCGCTATCCGCAGTCTAAAATTCACTATTTAATGTATTTCTGTCAAGACACAGGCTTTCGTTCTGCCAAATATAGAAAGAAAAAAAGTTAATGGTGTAAATGGTAAATTAACAACTCAGCTTATTTACTCACAAAAATGAACGAATGCAATGTTCCGCCTTTGAATTAGCCGCAAACATTAGACACTACATTAAAAGAAAAGCTACCTTCACCGCTATTTTGAATTGAGAGTTGAGCAGAATTGCCTTTCATTGGTTAAAACAAAGTTATAGATACTATAAAATGGATTCCTGCTAGCAAACAAAATACTATCTGTTTCTTCGGGAGAAAGAAAAGAAGAAATATGCAGGCAAAATACTGTCTTCTCTTCGTGCTGTTAATTGGTTCGATTATCGCTTCCACGGATGGCTTTGTGCCCTCGCAAAGGCCGGCTGGAAGGAAGAGGGAGGTACAAAAAAATATTTAATGTCCACTTGTGTTTTGTTTTGTAACTACCTATCCAGTTTTTTTATTTCTTTTTCGTTTTTGCCAGTTTCTTGAATAATAGTCATCACTTTACCTTGTTCTGTACAATAACAGTAACCTATGGAAGCACCGTTAAAAAGCCTTCGTTTGTACTCGTTTGAACGGTGTCCGTTAAAATCTCAGTAACATTTTTCCATTTGAATTCCTCATTATATTAGTTTGAGAAGATCCAACGAGATTTGTGCCGAGCAGCAATGCAGGTTCAGTGTTGTGACTTGGCCGAAGATGAAGGAATGAAGGGATGAACGAGATGTCAAGCTACAGTCGTTAAATGGAGATTAAAACATGCAGAACTAAAAAAAGAACAAATGACTTAAGTAATGTTTAAACTGGACTTGATATCATGGAATTAAATATGTCTTAAATTAATGTTGAAAAATGAACAAAATGGCGAATCGTGAACGTCAACGACTTTTTCTTTTTCACTCAACCACACATTACTTAGGCAGCGTTCACACTTCGCAAGAGATATTTGAAAAGGCAGCTTTATCTCCAACGCCCACAATAATACGTCACAAAAACAGAGCTTCTCGAAAACGTTCTTCAAAACGGAGGAATTTGAAAACGCCGGCTGAGCATGAAAAAAAGTTTGGAAAAGTTTTCGAAAACGACGACTTCACGATATTTATGTATGGGATTTCCCAGACCGAGTTTTCCTCAAACACAAATGCGAAATGACCGGTGATTGTTGCGTTTTTAAATTCCTCCGGCGTGGTGTGGAAGGAAAGCATTTACCGAGACCATATATGTAGATCATTTATCATATTATATAACTAAATCGAGCCTTTTTTGATGCCACTAAGGATATTGTTACTTACTCGTGCGGATGGGACGCTAGAGCCTGCTAACAGTCTGGCGGGTTTCCACGATAATAGCCTCCGCCTCCTCTCTCGCACTCCCGGCATCGTCAGAGTACAGTTTCTCGTCCTGGGAAGAACACAGCATGACTTGCGAATGAGTCAAACTCGCTTCCAGGTTCCTTTCTCTTCCTTATCTTGAGGCAGGAAGAGATAGAACCCTGGGAAGGATCGTTGAGCAATGAGTTTGATCTGAAAGTTAATTCTCTACTTTCCAATTCCCCATAATTTACTCTCTTCCCCCAAATTTTGCATAAACTATTTTTGTGAAATGCTCTTGTGAGGTCTTCATAGTCCCAGGAGCATTCACAACAATAGTTTATGCAAAATATAGGGGGAGGGGGGTGAGGGGAATCAGAACAGAATTGGAATAAAGAGAATGCACCAACGGCATTACGTCATTGCGTCTTCCAACACCAAGTACCAGACGTATGTTGTCATCAGGGGTACAAAGACAAACCGGTGTAAAAAAAAATAAATAAATATAAGATCTTTTTTAAAGAATGTGTTTAAAAGACTGCGAAACACCATTACTGTATGAGCAATAGCAGGCACACATTTTTAAAGGCAATTAGTTAGAGGCAGTTTAGTGGAAGCGATCTGCACGCCCTCTCAATGTTGTCACTGATCAGAGTTCTGCAATATTGGTAAGCTTGTCAGTTCAAAATTCCCTTCTGATGATTTTAATTTCTGTGTCTTCTTTTGTGAGGTATTGCCCTCCCCCAAAACCAAGACCAGCCCAAAAATTCCTTACTCTCTCATCAAATACCATTAAAGAAATTATTTAGCGTTTTAATCGTAGCGTTTTAATCGGACAGCATCTCTTAAAAACAGGTTTCAAGTTTGCCCAGAACTTTATTATTGAGCCTCCAGCACTTGCCAGGCAGGTCCATACAGTGACCAGCGCGCTTCGCGTATCACTTCCAATCTGCCAAGAAGATGGGACGTCTTTAAAAACTGTGCCGGATTTTGGCTCCTTCAGGCGGCAGAAATGTTCCTGCAAGAGAAAAGAACAGATATATATTTGCAAGCATCTGTTAGCAAAGCTCTTTCTTGTTCTTGGCATTAACATCAAATGATTCTTATTATAATCATAAAAATTACAAGTTCCTCGATTGCGATTGGTTTAAAAAAAATTCCTATTTTCAACTAATTAATTTGCCAAGTTATTATCGGACAGTTTGTTTGTTTATCGGACTTCCGCTGCGTGGTCGTCCAATTTTGTTATCACTCACATGATAACAGACCGAATTGGACTCCACTCAGGCCTGTCACCATTACTTATTGAATTTCGACATTTGTGAAATCACTCTTCTACAAACAATGCAATGTTCACACAAAAGAGTTTAAAACTACTTACAAAACGAAATCTAAGTTACAATACTAAAATAGTTGCATTGCCTATTACACGTACTACATAGTGCAATTGTGTACTTTTCCGTAGGGTTGTTTTACTACTCAATTTTCACTTCATGTTTATATTCAGCACCCTGCAGTATCGTATATTCCTTGACCGGCGCAGGTGTTGCTGTAATCTCAGTTATCAGTCAAATTTTCGGCGATTTGTCAGCTATCATTTAATATTTTCAGCCCAATTCTTAGCTATCAGTCAAATTTGCCGATCTCAAATCTCAACTGTTAGTCAAAAATTGCGTTTTTTTAATGGACGGTTTAAGTTTCGACGAATTCTCAGTTATCAGTTTCCACAGTTTATTTATTTATTTTTTCCACAGTTTATTTTTTCTACTACTGAAAACAACTAGAAGAATTTACAAGATTATAATTATAAATAAATAAATAAACAGTACAGTACATACAGTAGTAGGACACCCAAAATAACTAAAAAGCTAAACTAGTTGGGTGACCGTAATTATAATAATTAAAAATATGAGAGTCAGGAAAGAGGCACAACAAATACATTGGTACACATAAATATCAGTTACATCGAACACCATCCAGACCCTTGCCTGGTTTTTATAACCCTGGGAGAGAACTCTTTGATTGCTTTCATTGTTACGCTAGCAAACAGGCAACAAACTGTTAAGAAAATACTTCGTCAATCCTGATGTATCGTCCAATTCTCAATACTAAGAAGGCACGATTGTACACAAACACAAATGAGGGTTGGTATTTTGGTCAATATAGTCTGCGAGCAGCCTGGGTTGGCCGCGGTAGGAGGGAATAATTATGGTGTGCCTTTGTTTGTTTTTGTTGTTGCTGTTGTTTCTTGTTCTTTGTTATCTTTTTAGTCTTTTGCACTTTTTTCGAAAACCAAATGATGAAAAATAACGATAAACTTTTGATCGCTTTGTAAAGTTCAGACTCCCGTATGCAAATTGTTTTAGTATTCTTGACCTCGAATGGTTTGGTAGAAGACATCTTAATGCCTCTTTTGTTATCACTGCTTTACACAATTTCGATGAGTTTTGAATAACAAAAGATGCTAAGAACAGGCAACTGATCCTTTAAAAAGAGTTTTACTTTGTCTATATAAGGAACAGATATGCACGCAGCTGCCACAGTCATGCAAATCTGTCGGCCAAAATTTGCCAAGAGTTAACTTAATTCATAAAGAAAATATGAAGACAATCAGAAGTTGGTGAGCTTCTTGAGACGCTTATGTCAAACACAAGGCAGAGATGTATGTAGATGTTCAGCAGAACTTAATTTTCTGCAGTGCCGAGTCTTCTGATCATGATTGGGTGACTGTCTCGACAGTTTCGACACAGTACTATGACCACATCGCTTCCAGTATAAACAATAACAAGAGCTAATTATTACTCTTACGAAGCTAGTGAAAGTCTGCAGCACTCTTCCGAAGACATGAAGAATCCATTTTCAAAATGTGGAAAAATTCGCCAAAGGCTCAAAAAGCACAAGCTAACTACGAAATATGCAAGCAACTTTGGCGCTTTCCAATGGGATGACTCGGTCTTTGGTGAATCATACAGTAAAAAACAGTCACACGATGAGTGCAACGAGGCAACGGCACAGCGACAAAACACGTCAAGAGGAGAACTTTTATCCATCACAGCAACTCGTGAGACATGTTTTAATTCAAGAGAAGATTTTGTCAGCAATTTAGATCTGGATATTTCGTCCACATCAGCGAAGGAAATCACCAATGAAGTCAAGGAAAAAATTTATTTTCTTTTGAATATACTTTACGCCGATGAATTTGTAGAGGATGCATTTCTACTTGAGATCATGATAATCTTTTTTGCAACCAAGAAAACCCCTAAAGAACTGCAAGAGGTCAACGAAGACATCTGTGACCAAGACAGGAACGCGTACGGACTTCAAGAGTGGATAGAAATTATGTCGGAGAAGATATATGGCAGTAAAACACAAACCTTTATCGCCCGGCAAGGAAGAATACCGGGTCCTGTGGGAAGACCCGTCATTGGTGGCTCTACAATGCACAAATGGCTTCGAAATAAACCATAATGTACACCCATAAAAGCTGGATATAGTCTATGCATGTTGTCGAACTGTATTAGTGAACTGGACAAGCGAATTTGTATCCCATCGATCAGCGATGGATTTCAACTGTATTTGCACAGCTCCTCTGCATTTTTGGAAAGACAGTATTACAATTTCGGTCAGTTTTTCCCACAACAAAAAATTTACTTTTTGTTATATTAAACAAGCCCTAATTTGAAAAGGATGCCTGACTTATTTCTTCTCTTAGTTTATTGTAATGTAAATTAGTAAGCATAAGTCTCATTTTAGTGTGCGGGAAGAACAGTTAAGTAATTAATTAGAAGTGCTTGCCGCCCGTTAGTTTTGAAATGCATTATTCTACAACTGTTGCCTCACGGATGTCATCTAAAATTGCGCTTGACAACTTCCTGTCTAGTAATGTAATTGTTTCAAACGTCAAAATAACTTCTTTTTCTCCTCTTAGTTTACTGTAATGTAAATTAGTAAGCACAAGTTTCATTTCAGTATTGGGCTGTTCAGACCAGGCTTTTTGTTATCTTTTACGAATTGAACGGTGGACCAGACCGCGCCAAGTTGGACAAACAGCCGCCATTTTGGATCTGCCATCTTGGATCTTCGTCAGAAAACCACCCAAAATGACTCAAAAACAAATCAAAATAACCAGACAAAGAAATAAAAAAGAACGCAAGAGAGCCATATAAAGTAAAAATAAGCTACTTGTTAATACTAACAAGAAAATTCCAAATTGAAAAAAGAAACAAAACAATACATGCATGTCAAAACATGTGTTTGAGGGGCTGAATGTGAGGGGGGGGGGGAGCACATGTCGGTTGTCGGTTAAAATTTCATTACTTTGTCGGTTGTCGGTTAAAATTTTCGGCCTCTGTCGGTTGTCGTCAAGTCTCAGTTAATATTTTTGTCGCTAGTCGGTAATCTTTTCCTCGATTTGTCTGTAGTCAGTAATATTTTTTCTTCGTTGTCGCTAGTCGGTTAACCCCATTCAGACCCTCGTGTTTGCATGTTTCCATCAAGGTCCGAGAACAATCAAATTTTGGACCAGATTGTTCTCAGATACGTTTCAGATAAAGAAGCTATTACTAGCTTTTC